CCCCAAAACCCCAAAACCCCAAAACCCCAAAACCCCAGCTGTTTTTAAATCAATTGAACAGCCGATAATAATTAATTCGGATTTTATTTAAGAACAATTTCTTTGATTTCTTTGTTTTTGCTGAAAAATTCTTTGTTAGAAAAAGACTAAAAAGTTATTCTTAATTCTTCTCCCAGACTTGCGTTTGTCAATTCAAGATTCTTTTTGGATGAAAAATGCTTTGGATAAATCGTTGTGCAAGATCTAGTGGAAATCAATAATCCTAATGTCTTATATGCCTTTGCAATCAACTCTGATCAAAAGAAAGTCCTATTTTTATCAACGATACGATTTTGATCAAGGACTTCACTTTCTCTGGGCATTAAAGATCTTCTTCTTAAAAGCTTACTTATAGAAATTTTATATCCCATATTGTCAACAGCATTTATAAAAGTTCCAAGAACTTCTCAAAAATCGTCGTCTCTTTCTCAGTAAAGCTTCCTCCAAACAACTTTCGAGTAGAGTTCATCTACATAAGTTTTTAATTCAGTCCAGGTGGTGACATGAACTCCAGAAGCTGTCGACTCTAAAAAGTATATTTCATCATCTTCAAGGAAAGTAAGGACCATAGCTACATGGTCATAATGAGAATTTGTAATTTTCCTGGTGATGCCAGATATCACTGTTTTTCCTGTAAAGAGAAGAATATCTCCTGAATCAGCCTCGTTTAAGAATGTTACTTCATTTACTCTATCTCAGTTCTTCCAAAATCTTGATTCTTGCAATAAATAAGAATCTTTTTCAATAGATTCATTTCTTTCAATACTCTTTATAAATGCAGATCACCATTGATTTCTCTCTTCTTGTGTCCTTGCTTTAAACCTGAATATTCTTTTACATCCCTTCACTCAGATTCCAAACCTTAACTTTTTCTTGTCACTTATTTCTAAAGTGGCATCCACCAAAGATAAATTGATTATTCCAACAGGGCGAGGGTCGTTTAGCTTTTTGTAATATCTAAGTCTGCTATCACTCAGGACCACAAATCTTCTTTGCCATCCTTTAAAGAAATTAGCACTTCTTTTATTTAAGAAAACCTTTCATTTCTTCTTTCCTTTTATTTCCTCTTCTACTACTTACGATTCTTGCTGTGCTGTTTAAAGATGCTGCTAAGTTCCCTAGATTCTGATTTAGCTTAAGATTTATCAAATTCTGTCTGTGGGAGACTTCTAAGTTTTGCTCTTCACCAATTACATTGTTGTTTTCTCAAAAGGAATCTGTAACATATATGTCCTCGTTTGAACAAACCTCTTGTTCATTTTCTGCGCTTTCTTGTACTGCTACTAACTCTTCTGCCTTTTCTAGATCTGGCTCTAGCACAGAATGATTCTCTTCAACATTAACTGTATTCTTTCGAGATATAGCTAGTTTATTGAATTCCCCATACGAAAATTTGTTAAAGTCTCCATAAAGCTGTGTCTCTCATGACTCTTTTTGTTCCATTTTTTGTCTTTTATTCAATTATACAAATTCTATAGGTAGTGGCTTCTCAGGGGTTTTGGGGTTTTGGGGTTTTGGGGTTTTGGGG